TGTTTAGCGATCAACATCAGAGCGTTAGATCTTTAAAATACGTCTGTCAACCGAGAGACACTGCCTATTCCTACGCCACATTCTAGTGAATTGATGCGCAAGCGATCTCGTTTCGAACTCTGTCAATTGAGTCTGCCTGCGGCGCTTCGATAAACGAGCACAATACATATTATATCAGTAGCGAGATTCACGAAGATGTGTATTCTTGCCATGCCGTTCTAGTTCCGTTTGTGCTTTATTTGTATATTTACCGAACTACTTTTTTGACCATTCTCTGCCCGCACTACAGAAAGCTTGCATGTTCCCGATAGGTTCTTTTTTCTGTTTAAATCTTGGAAGCCGCCATGCCTGGGGATCAACATGGCCCGAAGGGCCGATAAAAGACGATTTATAAGAGTTTCTCACGCAGACTTATTCATGTACGTAAGCAAACTGGATACCCCAACATTATTTCTCGTAAACGCCTAATGTCATTAAATACTAGATTAGCACCGGTTTACACCGCATTGGTACTCGCTGAAGCCGCCCACCTCGCGGTCGCCATGGCCCCCGCAGTCATTGTGACACATCATTATCTTAACGCAGTAATCTATTGATCTCGTCTTACACATATCCGTGGCCTTGATGTAGCTATTTCGCCAAGAGCTTCTCGTCTACCCTAGCGTGTACCTAATTTATACAGTGCCGAAGAAAAAATGCCGCAGCGCTGCTGGTTCCAATGGCGGCCACAGAGCGGCCCTGATAAGTATTTCTCAGGAACCATCTGTTCTGAAGGACAACAAAACTGCTTGCGTCACCTGTCCAGCTAGATGGTCCTACAGAGACGGTGTCAGACAAAGGAGCAACGGAAAAGGGCGAAAGACAAGCTGCAAAGTTAATCTACGATGGCACGGCGATGTAAGAAGCTCGAGGGGCAGTTTAATCAAACACAAGCGAACGAGGAGCAAACAATTGATCTACTTACTCCCGAAGCCTTGCGTAGATCTGCGAATAGACGGAGAAGCGGTGGGGAGGGGGCATTCGATCAGATCTCTTCGGGGGAAAGAAAAGGGATGCAAGTTGACTAATAGGCCATTAAACACATAAATATGTTTTCCAAACAACATAGAGTCGCTGGGTACTAAAAAGAGAGGCGATCGGGTGTTTCCTTGTCCATCAAAAGATCTGATCTTTCTATCGTAACTAGCTACAGCACGGCGGCTTGTACGGCCATTAAGAAAAAAGTCTATTTGGGATGTTTCGGTAAACAGTGAAAAACATGCAGAGCTCGCTTATGGACGGGCTCTTTCAGCTGGTGTCGAAGAAAAAATTTAACCATATCCATACTTGTATACCCTGTTCAAAGTATAGGTTTAGTCATATAGAAGCAGCATATGAGCATCAATAATACTGGGGACTAGATAGGAGAGAAATGAATTGCCTTTACGCTCATCTTCCTTTTGTTCCATTCTGTATAGAGCATTCTAGTACGATAGGACATTTTTATTGTCTACAATAGGTTTCTATGCAACTTAAGAGTGCCTAAATGTCAACCTTGTGACCCGCTGATATTATGCGCTAAATATCTGACATCTATAGGAGATTTAAAGGTGTTTCAAAGAGTATCCTGTAAGTATACATAAGCGCTCCTGGGTGTCTGGTGAAAGAAGCTTAGGTTCAAGCTAAAATGGCTGTATTCATAACATCTGAGTCATCTAAGTAGCTTCTGCATCACCATTAGCTTCGATCGTCTTTTACATTATAGAAGACGCCAGGAATAAATTGTTCGCATTACTCGTAGAAACGCTAAAGTAACCACGCAGCTGGGTACTAGGACCATGGTAGCTACAAAGTTTCACAACGTCTAGTCCTGTGGGGAGCTTTTCACGTTATAGCGTAAATCTGAATAATTTCAGACGCAATATATAATCATTACTCTTTTTATGTTATAGGGTACGATGATGAGATGTATTACCTTTTGTATAGCCTACTGTTTGACTATGGCAGACCAAGAGATATTCAATACAGCCCGGATGATCAGTTAATAAATTGGCAAAAGAAACCACAAACTATAATCAGATCATCACTATAATTATGGCAACAACGACCTTTACGAGGCCCAAGGGCAAACTCATATTTACTCATATCTGTAATTTTTGTTTTTAGGTATATATTAATATATCTGTGTAATAAGGTATACAGTGGAGTATTGACTTACTTTCATAGTACAGCTTCGAAGACTATTTAATTCGCATCTAGTACCACATTTCTCATAATTATTTATCTATCGATATTGGAAACTTATATATAGAACGTATAGGCAACAAGGAAAAATACGGACTAGTCATCAGATAGAACGATAACAGGCACGCTATTTACAAATATGTGTAAGGGAGCTCAAGCGTCGAGCGTGACTCGATTCCGTCCCCGTACATCCAAAATACACAGGTATAACTGTCACAATTTTATTTTTATTCGAATAGACTCTAACGTTTATCCTAACCAAGTTTTGGCCAAATGGTATTAGATCAACCCGCAACAGTTGGCCAAATGGAAGAGATCCCCGCGGCGACTGCCTTCAATGGCGCGATTCCTTTTAGGAACGTCAACCTTCAGCCCTGACAGCTCTGCAAGAGAGCCGTGCAACAATATGGACCTTAGGATATGGCAATGAAGCTTTCAAATATATCACATGTAAGAACATAGTTGTATGGTCAGGCAAAGCTGTTGGCAACTTCTATAGCGTTTCGACAGCGATCAAGTAGGACTGCGGTGTGGGGCGTCTAAGATGGCTTCCATTTAAAATACGGTGATGACACGCCATCGCAAATCTAGACTTTTACTAAGTCTGAACACAATTGCATTGAACAATAAGCTAATTAATAAAACCACTCTAATAAAATCCAGCCATGTATGCACATATAGGATGCCACACGCATTTACAGCAATCAACTTACTACTTTCTTTCACAGTTACAACGCTCAATAAATACGTAGGCATTTTGCCAGTTATGTTGCCTTCCGGACCGCTGACTGGGAATAAGATTGCATTTATTTTTTTTATCTGGCACAATGAAAAATCAGAGGGGCAAATAATTCTATGTAACTCTCTTCCTATGTAGCTTCTCAAGAGGAAATAGAGCGAACATTTTAACTGTCAATTGAAATGAGTTATACTAAATATCAGATACTGCTTCCTTTACTCTGATCAGTTTCACAGCTATCTGTTCCTGAAACATCGGGTTCCTTCAAAAGGTAAATGTAGTATTACGGCACAGTAAAACATAGGTAACAGCCTTCAAGCCATTAGATATGCTCTAACCTACGTGTGTGCGAACCGATGAGTTCAGGATCATCGTTGTCTGCCAGCAGCCATTTGTCTAGTAAACAGTGTAAAGATGTCCGCCCGCCTACACCGGCATATTTAATAGCGAGAGTTTTATCGTTCTCAAAATTGTATGTTAACGGTACAGCCATGTAACGCTGTGGACATAACGATCCCACACTGCTTCGATCAGTGACACTCGTTATCGGGATATTAGTAAATCATTTGTGCAAACTGTGAGGCTCAAAAAAGGGCCAGACAGCGTTGCTACATCTTTAACCGGCTGTAGAGAGATTGCGTCGATAAAATAAGAGTTGGTCCGGGCAACAGGAATAGCGAAAGTGCAGCCCATTTGGGCCTTTTTTTTCTAATGATATCCTTACTGTAGTCGATGCTTCTAGCCAAAACACTCTTCTCGAAAGCATAGCTTTACCTAGATCTCCTAATTAGTAATTGACTCGGAATAAAAATAGTTGTCCAACTAATTATACATAATCATTTGTTGTAATTGCTTATAATTATATATTAGCTAAATTTAACAGATTTCGCTGGGCCTGGAGATCAAGGTAATATAACTGAAATCTTCCATCGTAAGCATTTTACAGATTTTAATTACAAACATGGTGATTAGCGTATTTGACGAAAACATGGTTTTCACTCGAAATTGGGATGAATGTGGATAAATACGTAGAAAACTGTTTTATCTTCCGAATAAGATTTCGTTACGTTGATTTTGTTTTTATATCTATACGACGGAAAGGGACGGAGAGAGAAGCCTTCAAGCAAATTATTTAAGAAATATAGATACCTCAATGGCACTCTCATTAGAAAAGATCTCACGTTCGACCCACTGTATTTTTACCTGCAAGCTCTTCTCTAACGCACAGACTTTGCGTTCTCTCAACGCAAGCATCGTTCTTAGAACTTTCGTAGTTAAGGCACTCGCGATGGGATGTCGGCTCAACTTTGCAGCTATATAGCTCGCTAATTAACATAGCTATATTAGTCTAAGAGTTAAAGGCCTGGTCCAATATTTTGTTGTTGATTTTCCGTGATCTAGTAGCGTAAGTACATGTTTGTTCGATCCATCGTAGTGTGCTTTGCCATGGTCAACACTGATACGACCTATCCTTATACGTGTAAAATAAGTTTATTCAAAAACATCCATCAATAGAAACGATATACGTTAAACAAATCTTTACATACAAATCTTAATTTTTACAATCCAATGCTTTTTCACTTCGTTGAAAAACAAGAAACAATAATCGACAAATTCCAGGCTTCGCTAATGGCTATAGCTATAAGGTCGAAACCAACAAAGGGATATGGCTTTGAATGGCGAATGACCAGAATCTTTTGGTAGTAACCGCTATACGCATGCCGTTCGTGCAAGCCCATCTCCATTCCGTCCACGTCACGGCGATCAAACGACCATATCATTTCCTATGGCTTTTTTAGATAGTTTTTGGGATGTCATTTCCCGCTATGTATAAGTCATTACATTGGTATACTTAACATTGCATTAGCCAGCAACAACACGACCGCCTTAGGAATTAATAATTTTACGCCGCTGAATATAATAGTACAACTAGATCTCGGTATCTGTTCCTCTATTTTGTGATTGACATCTATGTACGCCTCCTTCAAACTTCACGGTTGCGCTCTTCTTGGTCCGTCCAACCTTGGCTTGCACTCACCTGAAATAGGTGCGCTCTGGATACTTGGTCGAGTTTCGTTTTGTCGATGACCTTAACGGCGACCTGTTCGCCGGTGAATACGTGTCGCGCCTGCTTTACAACGGCATAGTGACCTCTGCCCAACGTTTCCCCCAGGTCGTAGAGTCCGGCTATCTTGCCTGCGTCCATGCCGGCTACCCCAGCCGATATCGGACAGAGGACTGGCAGCTTCGTCGAGCTAAAATGAACCGGGCGCGAAGGCCAGCAGCCTGGGTTCTGCCGACCGCTTACCGCCAGCAACGTGTACTTCAATGTAAGCACAGAAAATCTCGTAACTTCTGTGCGTTAAGCTTGGCAAGTGAAGAGAAAACAGGGTAAGTGCGTCCCCGATAAGGGCCGCTACGGGCCCCGAGGGCATCCCCCGTACGTTATACACCTCATCGCCGCCTCATTTTCCGCTGGTCTAAAATCAAACAAGGAAAATAAAAAAGAGGATCAAACGTGTCAGATAATTATTGGATGACTGAAATCTGCCTAATTCATGCAACAACTATTTCATTCAACTCACCGCACATATGTAGTTTTCTAGCTGAATACAATGGATGTTTCGAAGCAAGCTTTAGCTATGGACAAATGGATGAGAGTTTTCTGGGCGCTTTTAGTTGATTCTCTATGCTATCCTATATGCTCTATTGTCTACAGTGGAATCAACGCTTTCGGTAGATTTTTCGGGTGCAATGATATTTCTTTTTTACGTTTAAAGCTGCTTATTATATTACACAAAATATGTGAGCGTTATACGCATTGAAAATTCGTCGCTTAGGTTAGTTTAATCTCTGAAGCCCTCTGTATGCCTTTTTTGATGCACAAAGGCTCTTCTACGCACAAGTTGTTTGTGAAATCGAGGCGCCAGTATATGAGGTCACACAGAAGTTTTCCCCAAGGATACGAATGTTGCACATATCTGAACAAACAGTTGGCGCTCTAAACGGAAAAGGGTTCGCTGTACACTGAATCAACAGCAGTTAACGCCGTCACAAGGGTTCTTTCCAAGACCGTTTGAAGAAAATATGCACATGAACGCGAAAAAAGGCCTAACTTAGCGTTAAAGCGCATCCAAGCAAATATGCGTTCGCTTTCTTAGTAATGTTATAAGTACAGGTACCCCCTACGGTTTTTATTAATCGTAGCTATAGCAAGAAGTTACTCTCAGTAATGTATACCTACTATTAAATGACGCTAGTATAACACTCGCTGATAATATTAAGTTATATGACGTTAAGTATGACTCTGTTCTACACTTTCACTTTTTTCTCCCCTCCTGCCTTTCATTCAGGCCTATGTAAGGAAACAGTCAACATCGTAATTCGAGCATCTTAGCTAGCCTTCTCCAACAGGGAAATTGAACGGTACGGTGATGACTGGTCGGTACGCGTTTCCAGTTTTATTAGTTGATTTTTATGTTCAGACATTAGACCAGTAAACACAGCACAAAATCTTTGCTTGTATAAAAATTCCATACGTAAGTAGACAATTAATCCGTGTTAACAGGTTGGTAAGCATTTTTCATTGCGGATATATTTATACCCCTTTTAACTAGTCATGTCTACAATAAAAATGTTTGTAATATAGTTATTTTTTTATTTATACATATTATTTATATTGATATCAGGGAACAACGTTCGTCGGCCGTCATATGTCGAATTACGTTTCAGAAAGCAATCTGTGCCACTGTTAGAAAAAATACTTCGTTCTTTCGTATTTAGTCAACTATCACTATCATGCATATTGTTGTTCTTACAAAAGTCGTATTAAATCTATTATTCTGATTCGGAACCTCTTATCTCAATTGGACCCTTTGGATCTTCACTCACTTCAAATTCTCAAATAACTCAAACGAAGGTGAAGAGAGTTCAAGCATAAACGTTGAAAGCCATGCAAATTGTAACCACCATCTTTCCCACCACTTACTAACAGAATACCGCCGAAAGCCTTAACAAACCCGATATGTTTAATCCTTGGATCGTTTAATTTGGATTAGGATATTATTGACGACTGTTTAGATGTTCTCAGCTTATCTAGCAATCATCGTTTGAATTGCTTTTCGCTCTGCTTTGCAAGACGCTAGAACATTATCTAAAGCCGTCCTCGATAAGTGTTAGCTCGTTTATAACAAATCATGTTAAATACCCTTAGCATAAAGCTACATATTTTTAAACCGTTCACTGTGTATAGTTTATGTGGTCTAAGTTCGACAAGCTACAGCCAATGAACTTAGCAAGTTTTGCTGATATATGTACATCGAAATTGTTTAGCTCCAAAAGCTGCTGACCAGATTACCCATAAAATAGGCTGTAAACTCAACTCTGAAGAATTGACGATTTTCCAACACGTTTACATTATACGACCAATTTATAACGAATTAGACTCTGTTTTTAGGAGAACTGAATCATGCTCTGATTGATAGGCGGTATCACAAAACGCAGCGGTTATATGGCGAATGCCATAAACACCATAACGATGATATTGATACGCATTTAGCTTAGTGACACAAGTGGAAATTTATACTACTTGCGATGTATTATATTTTATATTTATATATGTAAAAATAATAAGGCCATTCCGGTAACAAATTGGCAAATTTATTGAGGTGTCGTACGAGATGAGCACGTGACGTAACTGGACGCGTGAGGAAGGCACGTAGCTTTGCAATTTAAATACAAGGTCGTATTAGAAAGTGTGTTTATTGAGATACAAACTGCACAAGATACATATATATATATATTTATATGCTATTGACTTACGTATATATTGATACCTGTGAGGTAACGCACCATATAGAATGGTCGTGAAGTCAATTTTTTTTGCATTTACCTCACGAACGGTTAGCTTTCTAAAAAGACACAAAACGAATATATTGGTGTAGATAGAATCTCTATATTTTATAATTTAGTATAGTTAGCTTCCATTTTCTAAGATTTCTTGCCGAAAAATGTCTAAAATTAGGCTTATTTTTTGCAAAGTTGATATCTATTTTCGGTTGCTTTGAGGGTGCAATGTATGTTGTTTATTTACCGTATGGATTACACTACGACTACATTCAATAGGTCTGACCATGTTCAACCAGAAAGCAATTGCGATACATATGCAAATCGCTTGTTCTATTTTTTTTTTGACGGCCCTTCGAGTACTTCATAAGCCACCATTTCTATAGATCTCTTAAAAACATTGAAAAAATTATGCGTTTTAATTTTCATAGTCACTGAGTATGTGAATAATATCGAAAAAGTGCAATCGTAAAAAATAATTTACCAGAAAAATAATTCTAAATATTTCTAGATAGATAGTTTTGTATATGTGTTTTTGTTTTCTTGCTCTTTGCATTAAAGTATCAAACAGATATCCTACAACTATATGCTTTGAGATAACTACGATTAAGTTTTTTTTTATGGATTTTGGATCTGTAAACTTATCGAATCGTTCGAAACTTACGTTTCATGGGAAAAAGCTGTTTATCAAACGTTAAAAAGAAAGAAAAAAGCAAACATTACGTTATCGATAAACCTCACTTTTTATAACATAAATGTAAACAAGCTCACGAGTAACCAGCTTGAATGACTAAACTAAGATACTTAGAATATATATTGTACTATAGTTCTATTGAATATAACTCGTAAAAATATAATCATCTTCCACCTGGTCACTGAGCTAGTAAGCGAAACTATATAATTACGAACTTCATGTATATCTGAAGATGTGCTGCTGCAGATACGACGTATAACAAAAAGTCAACATTGGATATTATGGCCCTGCTATATACACAATGCAATCGAATCCTATAAACCCTGGGCAAGTTATCTGTGTTTACCAACAACTGTCGAGGTATGACAGCCATTCCTTTTTGTAGCGGACTGATTTCTTGTCAAACAGTGGACAAATACCGACCACAGCCAAAGCGCAAATATTTCAGGCCACTCAGACGGCTATTTAACGGCTCTTACACAGAAGCGGAAGTGGAGAGTCAAATTTGGTCACTTATACTCTCAAAATCAATAAGTCAACGCTACAGATAAAGCACCAACGTATTTTTTGTCCTAAGATAAAGGCTTCGCATTGTACGAAATTTGGCATTGGATTCGGATAGCCTTTGCGGACCAACCCTTGTACTTTTGGGTACCAAAGCATATCAGTGTGTTTCCATTTACTGAAGAAAAAAAAACTATTAACCATAGCGAAATGTTATGTTAGCTTTCTTTTTTAGTAAACATTTGTATAGGATGAATTTTATCAAATAACATAAACATCACTTTAGCAATGAGTATAAAAATTAATCTCGTTATCAATCAAACACGATGACTAGAAGCTCCGTAATTTGCTGGTCTCTGTATTAAACGCGTAATGGTTTTCGCTCGTCATCCAACACATGTTGCATTGCCAAGAGAGTCAGTCATTTTCCGGTTCATGTTTTTTAATTTTTCGGTTCAAGATTGTGTTTTTTTAATATGTAGTCACCCGCGTTTTTATCGTCATCTCGTCGCTTTTCCTATTATCGAGAATCAGGGAGCGCAGGGAAGCATCGGGGAATAAAATAAATTACTACGTCGCCTTAGATACCCAAAGAGGAAGAAGGACGACACACGATGCATCCAGTAGGCGACAGACAATATTGACTTCGCAAGCCTGTCCTATCCGTCTGTGGTTGCCTATTTTCTCTGGACTAGCATTTAGATAAGTCAATGTCGTTGCTGTCGCACTGGTGCAGCAGTTTGCTAATATAGCTTGTCCGGAGATGGTCAAAAAAGGGGGTCAGACTGAAGATGCTTCCTGACCTAGCAGGGACGGAAAGCGAGTTCCAGAACACGTCTAAAAGTCAAACGGCAATTTTGGAGAGGAGACACAAAAAAGAGTTACGAATACAGACGAAATAATGAGTCAAGATCAAAATTAAATATGAAAAATTTGCATTTTAATCGCTCAGCAGAAATTACTGAATTGCGAAGACAGTTTTAATATGGACGACAAGCTTGCCGACATTTTGAGAAGTCTAGATGTCGTAACATTGATCTGTGTTCAGTTGTCGTGACATATTGTTAACAGCGAACGAGGGTGAGCGTAATTGGTATCGCTGGCTGACTAAGTCATTTCTAGCCTTGTTAAGCATGGATCTCCCGGAGCAACAATTTGGCGATGGGCTTACCTCACGTTAAAGACGCTAATTTGGCATATAACATTGTTTAGTAATGCCCATACACGCCGGTGACCCACGTTGCCAGGCGCAAATACATATCACTTAACACGAATAACTTTATCAAGTTTAAAAAATTGTTAAATGTCAGCAAACCACCAAGCTGAGAACTTCCTGGGCACCACGGCGGGCCTTTAATAACGTCCACACCAGATTATTCAGCGGCACGATAAAGGTACGCAAATTCAAAGCTAGGTTCATAGGTGCGTGCTTTTAAG